TATCAAATGGGGAAGTGAGTCATGTAGCAAGCGGGCATGAATACGGAACAGAGTCTCATCCTGTTGTGGGTTGGGTTAGTGACTCATTTGGGCTCTTTCAGGGTGATTGACACCTATTTAAAATATCAATCCCCATAAAAAAATAAATAAATATCAATCCCTGGGGCTGGGGAAATGGCTCAGACTAAGTGCTTCCCTGGCAAGCACAAGGGCCTGAGTTCAATCACCAGTTCCACAAAAAATAAAAATAAAAAAATAAAAAAAATATCAATCCCTGATGCCCATCCCTAGGGAAGTATGTAGCTGTGCTTCCTCTTTTTGTCTTGGTCTTCAGGTGTGGCCCATGTGGGAGTGTCTGTCTCTTCCCAGTTGCAAAGTCACCTTGTCATCCAGCTTGTCTCCTTGAGGGCCTGGGCCCGTCTGACTGCCTATAGTATTTCTGTCTAACTCCGCTGCCTGCAACAACCCTACTGTACTCATGTAGTTCTACCCTTAACTTACAGGCTTCTGGTTTCTGTGATCTGTGAGTTCTACTTCCTCATAGATCACAGAAGTCAGAAGCCTGTAAGTTGAGGGTGCTTTTTATTCTTGTTCTTGCCTAAGTGCTCTGCTAGACTCCCGGGACTGCCAATCCTGATAGGTCAGCTTCATTGGATGAAGGAACTTGGATGTGGCTGGGTGTGTGGCTGGGCGGCATGGGCCCTGGCTGGGCTGCCCTGCGTCTCCCCCAGCCATGCTGAGCTGGGCAGCTGGGCTCCTCCACGTCTTCTCCCAGCATGCCCCTGCCTCGCTGCAGTAGCTGGCTGCAGACGACCATGTGAGCCAGGTAGGCCTGTCCTCATGTAAGGCACGTACTGGGGTTGCGTCTCGCACTGGGGCTCACAGTACGTGGGGTGCGGTGCCCAGAGCAGATACCCTCGTGGGGGTCAGTCATTCTTTCACCCTTAGTGTAGTGTTCTGGTTCTTTTTTTTTTTTTTTTTTAATTTTATTTATTTATGTGTGTGGCGAGCTCAGCCC